ACCGATGATGAATGTGCATTGGATAAATTCACTAGTTTGTCAGCGGCCAGGAAGCGTAATGTTGTTCTCTTTACGTCAGACGTATCAGTTGGTGGATTTCGAAGAAAGTGTTCTTTGAGTGGTCCGGGTAACAGGCCCTCGACAAAACGTGAGCGAATTAGTTTCTCTCGTCCCATCATATCCAACCGGGGGAATGCTTGTACCGCGACTTGCTGTAGGGAATGAAGGTAGTCTACTGGACTCTCGCTCGCTTTCTGGTGGCGTGATAAAAACTGAATTGTCATTTGCTGGGTGTCCACGGGCAGGGAAAAACAGTCGTCTAGAATTCTCCAGTTTTGTGGGAGCGTGTTACTGGCCGCAAACCCGTTCGCTATAGCCCTGCGTACTGCTTCATCGCTCAGATAGGAAACAAGGTAGTTGAAATGCTCGGTCAATGGAACTCTCTGCAGGTACGCTGTGACTTTAAACTTCCAAACGGAGTAATCTGATGATGTTTCGAGCAGTGGTGGTTGATGCGGGGTTGAACTGGAAGTAGCCCTGATTGGAATCAAAGGGGGTTCGTCTAGGTTCTCATCGCGTTTTTCCATCTCACCTCCGACACCAGTTGTAACACGTGTAATCAGCAGTCACTGGAAGACGGGAAAACCTAAAGCCACAACACACACAATGTTAACTGAACACTTTACACCACAGAGAGAACGAGGAACGGAGGCCAATAGACGTTTATTTTTCAAATTAAAATTCGCGGGTCCTGTACAGAAGGGGGAGCTAGTTTACAAACGGTCTTATGAGTCATCATGTAAGTTTAGTGCGTGCAGGGCTTGCTCTTCTTCTTCTAAAGCGTTTATTCTTGCTTGCCCTGCAATAGAAAGAAAACAAAATCTATTAACAACATCATACATGATGATTTTAATCCCGTTACACTTGAGCTGCTCAAAGGACGCACTTCATGGTCTCAAACAAGTTAAAACCAGCAGCCGGTAAATTCAACTATCGATACTTACTGGATCTGGTTTGTTTATCGATGTTGCTGCCAACCTGGTACGTGAAAGTTTTCAAACCTTCCAGAGCTTCTCCATCAAGTGTGATTAAGTCGGTGTTCCCCGTGTTGTGTTTGAGGATCTCGCATTTTTCTTGGGTATGTTGAGGTCTACTGATGCAGAGGCTGCTGCTGCTGCTGCTGCTATACTGGCTGTTTCGATCTGCATTTGTTGGTGTGTTTGAGATAGAAGAAGGGCCAGGTCATCTGCGGAGTTCAAGTCGTGTAATTGGTTCCTAGCTGTCCATTGTACTCTATGCTCTCTCCGATGTGGAGGTCTTCATTATCCAGTCAACCACTAGAAGAAAGAGAAGGAGAGAGAGCAATCAGCCTTGTCTGACTCCGGTCCTCACTTGAAATGCATCTGTCAGCTGTCTTCTATACATAACCTTGCAGTGTGGTCTGTCGTATGAATTCCTTATGATATTGATGGTCTTCTCAGATGCACCGTGGTGTCGAAGAAGGTTCAATAAGGTTCTTTTATCCACGCTGTTGAACACTTCATAGTCAAGGAAGTTGGTATATAGTGAAAAGTTCCACTCAATTGATTGTTCAACGATGATCCGTGGTGTCGCAATTCGGTCTGTTCACGACCGATCCTTGCGGGATCCAGTCTGCTCATTTCCAAGTTGGGCGTCTACTGAATCTCTTGTCCGGTTGAGCAAACCTAGGTTGAAAACCTTTCCTGATACTGACAATAGTGTGATGCCTCTATAGTCCTCAAACTTGTTAAGATCTCCTTTCTTTGGTATTTTTATGGGTTGTCCTTCTTTCCAGTATTTCTGTCGGCACTTGTTCTTCCTCTCAAATCTACCTAAGAAGAATGTGGAGTATGTTTGCAGTTATTGCTATGTCTGACTTGAGTGCTTCGGCGGGCATATCGTCAGATCCTGATGCTTTCCCACTGTTAATTTGTCTGATGGCCATCATGATTTCTTACGTCGTTGGTCAACTGACATCTATAGGTAGGTCTGTGTGTGCTGCTTCGGTGTTCGGTTGATTAAATGGAGCTTGGTTCAGTGGGACATTTTTATTCAAGAGTTCCTCAAAGTGTTCTACACACCTTTTCCTCTGTTTTGAATCTCAGTGATTATATTGCCTTCTTTTTACCTGGCCGGTCTCCCTGGTTTGCTATATTTCCCTGCTAGTTTCTCTGCCATGTAATATAGTTGTTTCATATTTTCCGCTAATTCAGTTTTTCCCACTGTCATTACTAGGTCTTCCACGTATTTCTCCTTGTCAGCTCTAATGCCCTTTCTCACTTGCTTGTCCACTTGTCTATTCTGGTTCGCGTTCTTTGACAATGTTTTTTAAAGGTGTGGTGTTTACGAACCCACACGCAACCCTCTTCTTGTAGCCTGTCTTTAGACCGATAATAACCCCATAAAAGCTATATACGGAGTTCCCTGTTTTCTTGTCGACTCGAAATTGATATCTCTAGAAATTCGATTCCTAGAATTGCCTTATCTAATTCGGCTACAGTTAACACTCAGGGAAATCGCCTTATACGAGCTACACGAAATTCAAATAATTTCACATCACTTCTTTAAATTTGGCAATAGCTCAGGCAGTACGAACTGCGAATTTCCAGGATGTACTCGCAGAATTTCCAAATTCAAACCGAACCCTCATGCTTTCGAATGTATACTACAAGTAGGTCGCACGATCAAATCTGAAGGCAAACCTGTGTTTGCTAGACCCGGTGAACTTATTCTAGATAAGCTTAAAATCTCTAGAGCCGAATTCGACCACCTGATACAACTGGATATTTTCCGTTCAGTTTATAGCCAGTAGGCATTCCCTCTACATATGGTCCCGTTGAAAATTGAAGGTGATCGATGACCGTATGGGCATGACAAGCTGCTTTGAAGTAAAACCAAAGGAATTCAGGTTGACCTTCGAGGCAGTTAAACAGCTAAAAAATAAATCAGCTCGAACATCTACGTTGACGTATCTGGATTTCTATTCCACACTCGCTTTAATGATGTACGCTCCGAACAAAGTAGTAGTCAGTGGCCTTAACAAACTTGTTGAAAACGCTTGGAAACCGACTGCGTTTTTCTTAAAAAGACTTGCCCGAGAAGAGGCGGGCTATTCTACTTTTGGACGAAAACTTTTCGCAATCTACCAGACCATCAGGCATTTTCGACACAGGTTAGCAGGCCGAAATTGGTGATGAATTCGACTTCTGGAAGGCTCATACATGTACATATTTTAAAAAAGCGACTTTCCGTTTTAGTGTATTTCTGCGCCCAAGATATTTACACCGTGTCTATTTCTTCTGGAGACCAAACGCTTATATGAAACCGGAGATTTATCACACATTTCGTTTTTGTACCTGATTATCTCATACAAACAGTGGAGCAATTATTCAGGATTGACTTAATCTCGTTATTTTTTCTTCAAAGTGGATTCTTCCTTATTTTCGACTATAGGGCGACTTAAAAACTATGTGTGTTTGCTCTAGCTGTTATGCTTCACGATTTAAATGAAGAACTGCTCACCAGATGTGTGGTTTTTTCTGTCGATAAAAATGAGGATTACCCGCTAGCACGAAAAATCTGCCTCTTATTACCACAAAAGAAAGCTCAACTTACGTTTTGGTTTCAGCAGAAGTGAAAGGAGATATATTTAATCCTCATCCTCCAGTCGCTCTTATTTTTGGTAGCCTTCATCGTTTTCGAGCTCAATTAGATAGCCGTGAGAGTCCATATACTTTTCTAAGTGTGGACACAATTCACAATTAGGAAACACTGTCAGACGAAACAATAACATGGTCGTACGTAATGAGTTTAATTTCAGAACGATGAGCGGGAAAAAGCTCAAATCAATAATGTGAAGTAATAATAGAAAAACTTCACGACCATCAAAAGGACGAAGATTAAACCGGGACATAATAATAATATCAGGTATGTATCAACGACTTAAATTGTGTAGGCTGCTGATATCATATTAAAACGATACTCAATTGAAAGTCAGACTACACAGCATCTAATTCGAGCAGACCTCAGTTATCGACAGAGATCACTCGCGCTGCTGATACAAAGACCAACGAATATTCAGTCACTCAGGATGTTCATTTCCTCTTATGATAGTCTTTGATTGTCATTGCTCTTATTACTGCTCGCCTTTATTAATTTGTATCTGTTTCGTTCTTACCCTTTTGAATGAAAAGCGTTCATCAGATTTCTGGAGTAGACACACGGGTGAATCTTTCACTGATATGCAAATAGGTAGTGGTTTGCGCCGGGCATGTGTAGCGGAGCTTACAAGGAATGATAGGTGAAGTGAGCCGATGACTCAGAAAGCACAAATAATGGAGTTACATTCAATTGTGAGGCAGGCCGACAAATGAAAATGATACAATCGTAAGCCAAATAAATTAGAAACTGTGTCACAGATACTCATGGTTTGACAACGTTGTGTTCCGTAGCACTTTTAAAATCAAGATTCCTAAACCCTGTCAAAGCAGGAATGAAGGAGTTCGAAGATATAGTTGGAAGGTAATCTATATATCACGAAGTATATTTTCTGAGTGGACCAGTTATTGCAAGGAATTTTTAGCACGGAGTTCCCGACAGTGATCTGATGAGGGTGCTTGACTGTGCAATTTCACCAGGATGTGTGCAGCAAAAACTAATGAGATCAGGGTCAGTACTGAAGACTAACAGAACCACTTATTCTACGGACTCATTTGTCACCACAGTAGAATAAGATTTCAAATGAGTTACGCATTATTTACGTTTAACAGTGTTTAGAGCTAAAGGAAAATTCATCAGTAAACAACATACGAATAATAAACCGTTTAGAGGCATACATTTGCTTTTCGAATATCAAAGGACGATGTTTGCATGGTATTGAGTGAAGTGATGTCAGGGTGATTCGGAAAAATCATTTCTCTCACATCTGAGTTTGAATGCCTCAATTGTTACCTTGAAATCTATGGTTACTGCTTGAGCAAATGCGATCGAAATATAATTTTTCATGTAATAAAAATATTTACTCAGTAAACACGATTAGTTTTCAATTATCGAAATGTAGCTCGAACAAAAAGTGAAGTTCGACTACGTGACGGCCTTAGGAAGGAGATTTTCAGTTTTTGAACAATTTTGTGTCAATATTAAACATATGTGTTGTATGCTTTCTGAAGGGATGTATGCCGTCTGATTGATTTGATCTCCAAATTATCGTTGAAGTCTTTAAAAAGGTCGCATAATTTGAAGCTTCTGAAACTGTAGGAGGGTAGTATAAACTTTATGCTGTGTAATATATTCTTATTTCGGAAAGGTCTCAGGCTAACAAAAGGAACATGGTAACGTTCCACTTAATATAACCAGGGTTATTTTTCACTTGTTCTGTCACGATGAAACTACATAGTCAATGGAGATACCTAGAAAGAAAGACATGATTATTCTGAAATATTTATAAGTCAAGTTATATTTTTGGCTCAAATATATGAATTATTTGAAAAGAAACTTTTTACACGGTTCTAGGTTATTGAGAAGTGATACTTTAAAAATAATAATAGGTGGTCAGTGTTTGGTACTGATACTAGTTGGAATAAGCTTAACTATGTCCATGGTTCGTATTTACTTCATAGTAGGTGATACGCTGTTTACGTGAGCCGTCTTCCATGAATCTGATGGCCACATAAGTAACCTTTTTACTGGGATTGAATAAGCTGCCAAACCTATATATGAACACTACCTAATCTTGTATAGTTGATTGACTGAATATGCAAGTAATTTGTCATAGTAGTGTTTGGCAACTCAGGCTTGAATCTATTAGATTTTACTGCATTACGATCAGCAAACCATAATTTGCAGTGCTGCAAATCAGATGTTCTGATATGGATCGCACAAAAGACAGTTATGTCCCTCCCTTTTGTTAAAATACAGGATATTCCACTGGATTTGCTAGTGAATGTTGAAAAGGACAAGCCTTTAGTAAGATGCTTAATTTCAGAATAGGATTTGATGTCAAGACAAGGACTTCATATTTAGTACTCAATTAAATCTCCTTGCTAAACTTGGTGGATTTAGACAATCACTCATGTGCAGCATAGATATCTCTGCAAATTTATTAAGCATGAGTGGGCCAATTTCTCCTCCAACAGTATAGTCGGAAGTAATAAGAGGGTAACCTAAATTGACTATCACTACCTAGCAATTTGCACGAACCTGACCATGTTTGTATACTGAAGTGCATCGAATACTATTCCCGAGAACTAACTATTATTAATGGATTTAAATACAAAATGTGCTAGGAACTGCCTAAGATACTTAAGATACAAATATCGTACATTCTAGTTCTTCGGATTGACTAACATGACCCTTCTTTTTGCGTTTTTACAGTCGTATTCAAAATCTCTTGTTGTAAGATGAAAAATGACATCATCCGCTAAAAAACAGAAGGTTAAACTAACGGAGGAGACGATAACTGAATACAAGGCACAATTTGATGCATTAGATCATGACAAAACGGGGAAAGTCTCCGTCCCAGATGTAACTATATTAATAAGAAGAGTAGGTCTGATGCCATCAAACCTAGAAATTGAGGTGAGTTTATCCATTTTGGAATCCAGGAAACCCCACTATTAAGGGTCTAAAATCTAATCAATGTACTGGTTAAACTTATGATGACGTAAAAATATTTAACTAATGTGATGAGCTTAGTGACTTATGAAGTCGGGATTAAATATGTCAGCCATACTTCAAGCTAGTACTTATTCTAACAAACCAATGGAAGAAATATTTGATACGTTTATAAATACGGAAAGAGAAGAGTTAGGAAGATACTATTTCTTCCGTAGTATATGTATTAAGATTTAGTAAAGCGATACATTGACTTACCTCTCCAGTTGTTTTGTAAAAGTTTGTGCAAATGCACTTATCAAAGACGAATGCTAGTTATATTATGAGCGGTTTAAATGTAACCTAATAATAACATTTCTACACAAATGTCCTGACTGACTAGTATAATTCTAAGTCTGTTGCTACATCTTTGTAGCTCAGTTATAATTCCGTAAACTCTGCTTAACGGGACAGAACTACTAATGATTCTTGTTCGATATGAGCTAGGCTAAAGTTGAATGTAGCATACTGAACAGCAAAGGAAAAACACTCGATAAAGTTAGATGTCTCGAGACCAAACACCACATGATAATTCGATTACTTAATGCAAAAAGCAAATAAATATTGAGTTTCATCAATATGGTTCTTAAACGAAAGTCTAAATCATATAAGGTACTGCAAAATGTGACCTGGAACTAAGTAGCTAACAAATACTGGAAACAAGCTATCCACTACTGGGTAATGCATTACCTGTCTTTATTGACTTGGGTCTTATATAAATGAAAGGAAACAAGAATTACGCAACTAGAAGTTTAAAGGATACGTCTACAAAAAGAGACTCAGACCCACCTTAACTACTACAGCTGGTTTGAGAAATAAATTTTTTAGTATGTAGTGCTTATTTACAAAGTAACTGCTAGTTCGGTTTATCCAAAATGCAAACACTACTATACCAAACGGTGGTCTTAGGTCAGTGCACGCTACGGACTAGTTTTTAAACAGTACTACCAACTACTAGTGGCGGTGCATATTTCATTACCTATTGTGATAAAGAAGTTTGACTACTCCACAAACGAAACCCAGGAAACTAACATATATACATATGACATCTATTATAATAATTAGTGTAAGCATCGTGCACCTGTTAAGACACTTTGGTTCCTTGAAAGAGCATATCCGGATCCACTGCTGACTTCTACATTTTTTTATTTTCCGCATCCAGCAACATCTTCATTCATACTTCGTATGAAAATACCCAATACAAGAGTGATACAACATTTTAGTGGGTTAGAAAGGAGTATATGATCCTAAAAACCATAATTTTAGATGCATGTAATCAGTTTGTACATCTATTATTTTTTAGGTATTCAGATAATTTTAGTACCATTAGGACAGAATCCATTTATCAATGCCCTAACTTCAAAATATCTTCCGAATTTAAAAAACAGGGATGTAGGTGGAGTATCATCATATACCTATGGAGCTTTATAAGTGAACAACAAAGTTGTGAATCCGGTACTTAATGGAGGAATGTAGGAAAGAATCCCAGGGATCCTATTAGTACTGACATGACTTAGCTTCTGTTTAAACAGTGAGTGCATTATTAAATTCGCTATTAGTTGATACGGTTAGTGAACTAATCAAAATCTGTATTAATTGTTGGGTTTTAGGAGTTGATAGCTGACGTGGACAAAGAGAAAACAGCACTTATTGAAGGTATAACGTTCGATCAATTTTGTGAAATAGCATCACGAAAGTACAATGAAATATACACGGAATCAGATATCGTTGAAGCTTTCCGTACATTTGATGTCGAAAATAATGGTTTCCTTTCAGCTTCTGAACTTCGTCGTGCACTGTGTACGGTGGGTGAGAATCTCACTGAGGTGGAAATGGATGCAATGTTAGAAAAAGCTAAAATTGATAGTGATGGTAACGTGCACTACGAAGAATTCGTCCGTTCTATAACATCAGACCTTTGATAAAAGTTAAGAAAGTATCCAAAGCGAATACAATATGTGAAGAATAAGATGATTTCGAAGTAGTGATTATTTTCATTTTGCGATTTTGGCATCGCATGTCTAATATATATCTAATCGTCTTAAATAGATGTATTAACCAAAGTTTTGAAATTTACTTCTTAGATTAAATGTTTTGTATTAATTACCTTATATGTTTACATGTAAAACACATCATATATAATTTGAGAAAAGGCGCTGAACAAATCAAGATTTAGCAAATGTAAAAATACATGGCTGATGAAGAAGCTAGTGCTAACATAAGTATGCTGTGAAATCGTTCGAGCATCTTATGCAACCAGATAAAAGTAAAAACTTTCTCTTCACAATTGATTGCGTGTCTAGTCCTTATTAGTGCAGATCGAATGCTATTGACCATGTTGCAATGTGGCCACCAGCCTAGGTGACTCGACACTGCGGGCACTATATATTGAGATTAGATGGTGGTTGGAGGTAGTCGACAGGAAACCCTGGATCCGAGTTTCGTGCTACTTGGCACTCGTCAAGCAAGATGTACCTGTAATCTTGAGGGAACTGGTGCTCCCTGGCGGATTCGATCTCATATCACCCAGTTTTACAGTCACAGACGTTACCACTGAGCCATCCGAGTCACGATCGACCTCCTGTAGGACTGAGATGTAATCACAATTGATTGCGTGTCTAGTCCTTATTAGTGCAGATCGAATGCTATCGACCTTCAACCACCATCTAATCTCAATATATAGTGCCCGCAGTGTCGAGTCACCTAGGCTGGTGGCCACATTGCAGCATGGTTGATATCATTCGATCTGCACTAATAAGGACTAGACACGTAAACAATTGTGATTACATCTCAGTCTTACAGGAGGTCGATCGTGACTCGGATAGCTCAGTGGTAACGTCTGTGACTGTAAAACTGGGTGATATGAGATCGAATCCGCCAGGGAGCACCAGTTCCCTCAAGATTACAGGTACATCTTGCTTGACGAGTGCCAAGTAGCACGAAACTCGGATCCAGGGTTTCCTGTCGACTACCTCCAACCACCATCTAATTTTCTCTTCAGCTAAAACTATTGAACTTTGGGATTAACAACTGCACATAATGAGCTCGTGTTGAATGACTAACAATACAATGCCAATTACAAGTAAATAATTCCTAACTTAGTCTAGCATGATTTAATTCTAAGAACATTGAAGGTTAACCGAATCACGAAAGGCGAATAACAACTGCAATTAGTGAGCAAAGATTTATACCATATCCCAATTAATATCTATTGATCTCACAACAAAATATACGAGAGAGAACTGTAATTGAGTAACACATGTTGTTTGATAAAAATCTTCGCTTTGAGTTTTTGGCTCACGTTCCACCAAGGTGAAAAAGAAAGTCACTACTCAGTTCTCAAACTACTGGGTTATGTGAGCAAATCCTAAGAATGAAACGAAGATCATGTAAACTAATCTGTGTTTATACTTAATAGTAAACTAAGCGACTTCAAGTCTCGATCTTAAGGTTATTGACATTTCACATCTAAGTAATTTTTTTAAGCAGAATACAGGTTTCTACCTTTTTTGTCAAAGAACGAGGCTTATCCGCAGGCAAAATGGCAATAATACTATTCAACACATTTAATGAAAAATGAAACACCATAAAAATAATCGTTTTATGAATTAAGGGTTTTCTATTGAAATTTATTTATCATGAAACTACTAACCTAATAAATATGTGGAAACAAGTTTGTATTTTTAAAAAAATGTTACACTTCAGCTCCAAGGTAGTTAGATATAATAGACAATGGTGATGCTGAACCGAAGTATGAATCTTGAGAAACACTTTGTTTCAAACTCATTTTTTTCCGAAAGCTCTTTAAAAACATATCCTGCCTTTCGATTAAATGGGGAAGTTTCTCTAACTCAAAAAATATATCATTATGTGTGTCTAAAAGAGAGTCCGCCAAACTGTCCAGGGAATCATAAGAATCAAAATACTTTTGGGGAAAAATTATATCTTCATATTTACGGGTTACACGATCTGTCTTAATCCATTCTTCGGAAGGCATATCGATTCGATTATCAGCCGGAATCAAACGTGTTTCATATTCTTCTACCAACTGATCCCACTTCCGACTTTCACCCTGATACCTTTTGGCAAGTTCATCAGTTAGTCCGTCGTCATTAATTTCGTTATCTGACTTCACATCACTAGATAAAGTATGCTCATCTAAATTCTGTTCAGTCAGACAAGGAGTACATATAAGAAGACTCTTTCTGGTAGACTTTCTTCTCTGAGTACGAAAGTCTGGAGTGGAATGTTTAACTTCTCCCAACATCGATAAACTGTTCAATACACCTGATTTAAAAAAGTAAATAAATGACACGGTAAATAAAAAATAACAACTATCATTTAAGATACTTTAACTAGTATATTATCAGTAGATATGAACTTAATTCAATAAAAATCAGAAAGTAGAAAGCTTGTGAATGTATTTCTTAAAATTAAAACTTTTCGAAGTGTGGTCAATAACCAGAAAACTTCTCGAGGAAGAGGAAGCTTTAATTTGTACGTTTAAGAAAGAAAGCAAAGTGTCTAGATAAACTTTAACTATAGTAAGTCAATAATCAATTGGAAAATTTGAAGCATCCGTGGGAATATTTATCATATTTTTAATTATTAAAGTGGTTCTATAATGACTTGGGCGAGGCAAACTAATTTATTGTATTAAGCAAAATCATACTGCATTTCTAAAATATGAAAACAATACACTGAATACATCATTTGCATATCTTCCTTGAATTATCTCTTACAAATTCCATCGTTCTTGCATTTTTATTACTATTTGAACTGCTTCCATCATTCTTTCTCTTTTCATGATGTTCCTCTTTTGTTAGTAATAATCCCACTTCCAATTCTTGATACATATTACTTATATATGTTTGCATGAGTGGCACACATCACAGTTCTTGTTTGGAAACAATAGAAAATACATTCAACAAGTGGTTATTGACATTAAATTTGCTCTTAAGTTACAAACAGTAATAAGTTCTTATATTGTTTACATCGAATCGGAAGTCAGTGCTAGCACTGAATATGTATATTATCTTTCCCAGTGGTGAGCTCATGATTTTACTCACGTCAAATCTGGTACAACTAAGCACCGAAAATAGCATGCGTCACACTGAATATTCAAGTATGGAGCGGGAGATTGCCGGAGTACCCAAACAGAAGCAGATGGTTTTCTTAAGAGCCAACGCTCCGAGACTTCCAACTTAAGGCTCAATTTACAAGTCAGTAGAGTAACATCAGATGAGGTTCTATAGTAGTTGGTAACAAAAATAGGTCTATACATGTCGTTTCTTGAAACCCATGTACGCCATTAGTTTGGGACCAGGGTTTTGAAACTATCCTAAACAGACCCTCCGTATCTGTCGACGTCATTTAAACTCTGGAAGTTTGCCACCACCACATTACCGTTGTAAGACTTACCTGACAGATATTATAAACACTATCGCATAAAGGCATTTTGAAAAGAGTGGACTCTTTCCACCCTGGGTAGTACCAAGGCATTAAGGGGTAGTAGTGAGATAGTTGAATGAAAACGATGGAAGATGCTTTGACATCATGAGAATCTGTGGAGAGTGGAATTTCCCAATCAACAATTTGAAGCCCTCTTCCGTTCTTACCTTACATGGATAATCTATCAAGTATTCATAGTCATTTTCTCCATTGCTTGCTGATGACATTAAAATATGGGAATGGATATAAAGTGCATCTGATAAGTTTGCACAAAGACTTAAACGGACTGGTTGAGTGAACAAATCAGTGGTCATTAGTTATAAATTTCAGAAGATTTTGTGATAAAAACTACACAATAAATGGAATGGGATTACTCAAAGTAACCGATTACATAGATTTAGTAGTTGTAATACGTGACCTTAGAACTGCAGGTTACTGTCAGATATAGACCTCCACAACCAACTCATCGATGGATCCAAAAAGATCACATTGCCATTAGACATTGTTGGAGAGGCTCGACTAAAAATTGTCGCCGATTCTGGAGCACATGTGTAGACTCGTATTTGTTTGTATTATTGGAAGTATAAAATCCGCAGCGAGAAAATTGTTTTGAGTTTAACTTAAGAACAAAAAAGTTAGTATATTTCAGGGACAACTAGAGGAGTTAGTCAATGGTGAAAATGGTATCAAAAGGCTGTGGGAACATCAGTGAAATCTACTAGTAACTTGAACCAAAAGGTTATGAAAAATCGGTGGATGTCGGCGGCATCTACAGAACCGACAGATGCTTGAAAACTCATGTAGTGTCGGTTGACATGTTAAACCCATATACGTTATTCTAGCATTCGGACAGGTCAATCTATTCATTCTGCTTGAGTCACATTTTGACCTTGTTAACTATTCGCTTATCAATCTTGACTGTTTTTATATGAGCGCATATATGCGTGTACATTCCTTATCCTATTCATCACATGTCTGTAACTTATTTTTGTGTGGCTATAAATATTGATTAACGCTTGACTAAATGGAGTTGGCCTACCCGCCATCTCTACTGCGCGTCGTTTCGCTTCTTTCTATTCCATTCGCTCCATATAAAAAATATATCTATTCAAAAGTCCATTCACGTTATTTGACTTAGTTAATTCTCTTATTGACTAACCCGATTTCAGTCGATGATTATATACAAGGATAGGCGATAACAAATATTCATACGATCTGATTGGAGTCAGATCTCAGGCCACTAAACTGGAGAGCCCATCAACAAATATCCTTCGATCTAAATGACGACAAAATAAAGGGCCCCACTAAACTCATTCCATTTGGCTCTGAAAACAATGAGAAGCGGGAACAGCTTAAACGTAGACTGATGGAAAGCTTACGTAATGATTGCGAGCAGTAGTGCGTGGCGAAAGCAGCAGATGTGGAAAAGGCAGCAGCGATACGTGACAGTAGACAACTGTGCAAACTTATCAAGTTAATAGGTATTGGGAATCCCATTGTGAGTGAAACTATCTCAAACGAAGACGAGACTGCTATTCACTCTCAATGCAGGAGATTGAACCGATGTGCAGAACATTTTAGGGAATGGTTCAACTGGTCTTCAGCCACACTTTAGTTGCCC